GGGGAGGAAACCTTTAGGAACTAGAGGAAGGTTGTATTTCTCATCATTGTTACATCGCACCCTGGAGCAGCACAATTTTTTTGTTTAGATTTTTCTTTTTTTTTTTTCCAGATGCCTGCTGGAAGAGTTAGATTGCATTGTTCTTAACCATTCTTTGAGCTCATCCCCTTTGAAATGTTTGTTCTTTTTCCTGTCTTTGTTCTTTTTTATATGTAGGCCTCTTTATCTTTTCAGATCAAATGTTGGGACATGTCGACCCTAGAGTGCTGCTGGACGCTGCCTTCCCTTGGTGGGTTTGCCTATAGTCTGGCTTTCTCTCCTGTGGACACCGGCTGTTTAGCCATCGGCGTTGGGGACGGCATGATCCGAGTATGGAATACACTCTCCTTAAAGAACAACTATGATGTGAAAAGTTTCTGGCAAGGTGTCAAGTCCAAGGTTACAGCGGTAAGCATGCTATCAAGTGTTGGAACAAATCATTCTCTCAGGGAATATCTGCTCACAACATAAACTCTACTGGGAATCTAAGCTTGTTTCAAAGAATTTTAAGTGCAATAATAGGAAAACAAAAGTAGCCTCACTTAACCCACTGTTCCAGAATGCCAAGTTTAAAAGCATTGCGGCTTTGTTCAGTCACCGTGTGTTCTGGTAGTAAGGGAACTGGAAAGGACCTGAATGTGCATTCCTAAAAGAGACATTAAATTCATTAAACTGATGTGATCTCATGTGGGAATGACATTGAACTATTAAAAGTGATAGTAGTGCTCTTTCTTGATATGGATAACAGTTTTCTTGATTCATGAAAAATGCTAATTTTAAAACAGGTAATGCTGTTTTAAAAATTGTATCTGATTTTTCTTTCCTTCAAAATGAAAATTTCTCTTGTGGCTATTTATTACAAAAAGAGTGCATATTTGTGGTTTTTTAATAAAGCGGAGCAGTGCAGAAGTTTGGCACTTTATTAAAAAACCAAAAGGGTTTCCTCCCTACCTTCCACTCCATTCGTCATGTCTACGATCCATAACACCACTGTCAATTTGCAATAATTTCTAAAGTTTCCTTATCACAGATAGAACAATCATTTAAAATTCTTCTGGAGCATTATATTCCTTGACTCAATAGTTGATCATGGACATTGTTTGAACTCATTTTTATTTTTTAAGTTTGTATACACTGTTTATTCAGAAAAAAATGTAAGGAAGGAGAGGTACAAAATTAGCAGTGGGTTTGGGGGCGGTGGGGCACGGTGAGATTATCTAAGTAGACAATTTTCACTTTGTTCCTAATGTTGCTTTGTCTCTTAAATAATGAGGATTTGCTACTTCTGGAATTAGAAGGCAAGATCAAGAGAGTTCCTTGGGATTTCCTAACAGTATGCTGTGTGCGCTTCCTCTCTACTCTTCTCTGAGAGCTCTTTTGTTTTGTCTTTTGGTAGCTGTGCTGGCACCCAACCAAGGAAGGTTGCCTCGCCTTTGGAACTGACGATGGCAAAGTGGGCTTGTATGACACCTATTCCAGCAAGTAAGAGCTGAGGAGTGATCCCAGGCTCAGCACTCTGGTGCTGGGTGCGGTTTGGTTACAGGACACAAGGCCTGGGGAACGTTTAAAGGAAACAGCAATTCCAGGGTCAAATTGCACATTTTGTTTCTTAAAAACATAAATTTCAGTTGAATGTGACTTAGCCCAGCTGCACTACTGAATAAGTTCCTTTTGTTTTCCCCATACACACAAGTATGTAAACTTTTAGACATGCTGGACACTGGACGGACTTATGCAACTTCCCCAGTCTAACTTCAACAGTTTTGCAGTGTTTGTTTTATCCAAGTGTTTTTGCTGCCCCTCTTTTCGGTGAGATAGTGACACTGCTCACCTGCTAAGTGGAAGGGGGGTAATTTGAACCCAGCAGCCACTCTGTGGGACAAAGATGTGGTAGCTTACTCCATAAAGGTTTAGAGCCTTGGAAACCCAGTGGAGCTGTCTGTCATATAGCATCATAAGTCAGACCCTTTCGGAGTCACACTGCCCTATAGGTTTCCAAGGTTATACATACATTCACTGAGTGGCTAGTGAGTCTGAACCACCCCCCAGTAGTTATCAGCCAGGGGCTTTGACTACTATGTCACCAGGGCTCTTAGGTGATTAATTGAATATTTTTTTATTGTCATAGAAAGTTTGGTACAATGCTAATCCATAATGGGAGGTGGTGAAATATTATCCCTGTCAGGTGTTAATGGAACAGAGACACACATATTATTGTGTGTCTTATCTGTGACTGTTTTTATGATAATCAGAGTTGAGTAACAGGCAGTCTCACAAAACTTGGAATATTTATTCTCTTTAGGAAAGGATTGTCTACCCTTATTGTAGACCATGCACTATTCTATTGGTTTTTTTGTTTTATTTTTCTTTTTTTCTTTACCCTAACCCTAAACTATTCACTTCTAAAGGAAAATAATTTATTATACTGCAGAATTGACCTTTTTAAAAAATATGTAGTTCTTTATTTTTGCAGAACCTATATAGAAGTAACTTATTTTTTCCCTCTTGAATTCTGAAACAAAAAGAGTTACACTATTTCAAAGTGTTATTTAGGAAAATAAAGACAACTGAACTTAAATAGCTCTGTATAATCAAGAATTGCTGTTTGATAAATTAATATCTTCCTGTCATAACTTGACTATTCAAATGAACAGGAGGAAAGGCGTATGGACGCACAGGATATTGCTAGAGTTGTGATCTTAGGCATTCAACTAAAATTGTTCATTCTGCTTCTCATAGCCTAAGAAAGTTTGATTCCTTGTCCTGATTGATAACTACAAAATTTACTGGCAAACATGGGAAGTAAATTAGTCAGCAGCTAATTCATTCATAGATTCTGGAATTCTAGAATCCTAAAACCAAACAAATAATATAATTTGCATTAAAACTGACAATGATGTCCTTTCCTCCCAAAAACATTCTTTAGTGGTACATCACATGTCGTTTATCACCACAACCACCTTTTTTTTTTTTTAAATCCTTTTATTAGGGGCCCTTACAGCTCTTATAACAATCCATACATCAATTGTATCAAGCACATTTGTACATAGATTGCCATCAGCATTTCAAAAACATTTTTTTTCTACTTGAGCCCTTGGTATCATCTCCTCTTTTTTTCCCTCCCTCACCCTCCCACCCTCGTGAACCCTTAATAATTTGTTATTTTTATTTTCATATTTCACACCATCTGCTGTCTCCCTTTACCCATGTTTCTGACCCCAACCACCTTAGAAAAAGGTTTCTTTTAAAAGGAAACAAAAAGCTTTAAAATTGGTCTGCCCCAAAATTTTGTCCTCATTCAAGAATTGGGATGTCAATGGCATGCCTAAGTCTGACTGACTGCTAGGCTTTTGCTTGCAGCCTAGGGAGATAGAGCTGGTGGTGGTAATATGTACTTAGCTGTAAGCTTACTTTAGGGCCAGACAGTTTGCATTTTCTGTGTTGACCAGTGGAAGAAGCAGCCAATGTTTCTCAATAAGGAAAGCTTTTAATGCACCTGTATAACCAGTAATATGAAAATATTTGATGTTTTATTGAAGTGGGTAACTGAGGTAAGGTGTAGGGAAATGATCCAAAATGGACCAGAGGGGTAGAGTAGCATTGGTTTCTGGGTAAAGTGTCTTTGGGACTTAGCGTTTTAAACATAGACGTTATTTTATGGTATGTTATTTACACATTTGTTTCAACTATTTAGAAAATGATACTCGTAAAATGTTTTTCTTTCGTAACTACAACTAAGTTTTTAATAGAGACCTTTTTAGAAAAGTGCCTTTTTCCAGTCTGCCTTTTCGTTTAACTCTTTGTTTCCCACCCCCGCCAGACCACCACAGATTTCTAGCACGTATCATAAGAAGACTGTGTACACTCTGGCCTGGGGACCCCCACTACCGCCTGTGTCCCTCGGTAAGTGTCTGAACCATTCTGTAGTCAATGCAAGGGATTCCCTGTCGGTTTAGCCCTAGACTGAAGAGTGGAGTGGCAGGTTGATAGGGATGCTCTAGTGTAATTCCCTGATTATGCTGCTGTGTCCCTGGGGCTCCGTGAGGGGGCAGGTGGTAAGCTGGGGTTAGGAGAAACCATCTACTCCCAAGCGAATGGTTCCCACTTCTATCTGAGTTCTATGTTGCCCCTGTGCAGTTAGTTGTTATTAAAAATTTTTTAAACCAAACTCACTGTCACTGAGTCAGTGCCAACTCGTAGTGACCCTATAAGACCGGGTAGGATTGCCCCTGTGGGTGTCGGAGACTGCAACTCATTGCAGAAGTAGAAAGCCCTGCCGTTCTCCCACAGAGTCAACTGGTGGTTTCAAACTACTGACCTTGCAGTTAGCAGCCCAACTCGTAAGCAGTATTCCAGTGGGTCCTAATAGCTAGTCTGGTGTTACTCATTATAAACTGTACCTTTGATTTTACCAGACCATATCACCCAGACTTAGGATTTCTGAAATGATCTCTCTATCATATTCTGCTAGCCCCTCAACTTTGTTTTACTTTTCCTTAGCCCTAAAGCGGTAGGTCTTACGTAATTAAAATGAATGTTTTTTGCAAAGTCTCTTGACACCCTTTTTGGAGCCATCTGTCAGGGAGCATCAAGAAGTTTCCTTAGTACTCGCATTGCAGAGAGGATAAAGAGTGTGGAGCAGCAGAAATCCAACAGTGGTTTATTCACCCAACAGAAGTACGTGGGCAACTTCCTTTGTGCTAGGCACGCTCCTAGCCCTGTTGATAGAACCACGACCCTAAAACGGGCCCTTACAGAAGTCCCCCAGAGCCACTGTTTGCATTGCTAATGCTCGTGAAATGGATGTGATGCTCAGGAAATTGGTGCTTTGAGGGCATCTCCTTATGATTAGTAAAGGTAGTTCTTTAGCTCCATATATTGAAATGTCCAACGAAGAAAACGTCAGGGTAACAGCTTTGACTGAGAAACGTACACCTGTATTTTCTGATCTGGGTTTGGTGCACTTACTATCCTGAATACCAGAAGGATGTTTAAAACAAATATGTTCAGATACACAGAACAGTGAACCTGATTCGGGTAACCCACGTGTAGTCCCCTGAAATCCGTCGAGAGTGCTGCTTGCTCACACTAGAGCAACCAATGATTGGGCTGATGAAGCACAAGCTGGTAACGTTCTTTTCCTGTCACAGGAGAAGGAGACAGACCTTCCCTCACGCTATACAGCTGCGGAGGAGAGGGGATTGTTTTACAGCATAACCCCTGGAAGCTTAGTGGAGAGGCCTTTGACATCAACAAACTCATCAAGGACACCAATTCAACCAAAGTGAGTCTTATGGTCACAAGTTGGCCCCTGTTCTCTGCCGGCTTCCACATCGTGTGTAATAGAGGCCGTTATTGGAGGTTCCCACTGTCTTCGGTCAGATTTCTTAGATGTCCCTAAAAGGTTTTGTCAGATAGAACACACATCTCAGGAGTATATCCTTGGGTAAAGCCAAACCACCACCACCAGAAAGGTTGGTCTCAATTGTGGTGCAGAGTAAAGCTTTGAGATCTTGGGTGTCGGGCATTTGTTCCAGACCAACTACTTCCTCTAGAGCAGCGGTTCTCAACCTGTGGGTCATGACCCCTTTGGTGGTTGAATGACCCTTTCACAGGGGTCGCCCCATTCATAACACTAGCAAAATTACAGTGATGAAGTAGCAGCGAAAATAATTTTATGGTTGGAGGGTCATCACATTAAAAAGGTTGAGAACTACTGCTCTAGACTGTCACTTTCATAAAAATAAGTTTTTTGATTGGTTTGGTTTTGATAATCTGATGTCCAAATGCAGCTGCAGAACTGTCGTGTTTTGGGGGTTTTTTTTAAGCTTGGAATTATTTCAGATTGACATAAGGATTGCAATAATAACACCAAGAACTCCCTTTTATCCTTTCTCCTGTATTGTCCGCTTGCAGTCACATTTCTGTTGGCTGTTAACATACCAGTGTGGCAGAGTGCCTTTTGAGGTCAAACCATAAATACAGAGCCTTACCCTTTAAGGAACTTGTTGCTCCTTATTCTTGTATGGCTAGCACAGAAACCCACTTGCAATCAAGTCGGTCCCAACTCATGGAGGGGTTCTCAAAGCTGTAAATCTTCACGAGAGCAGAGAGCCTCAGTTTTCTGGTTAGTGGATGTGAACCACCAACCATGAGGTTAGCAATCTAACACTTAACCAACAGCATCACTAGGGGCTACCATAAAAGTGACATTTGATTCTTAAGTGAATTCTTAGTGTATTTTATGCCTTCGTCTTAAATGTCACCTGAATGTTGACATTCAACTGTGAGCAAACGACACAATTCCTGTTTTCATCAAGCTTTCTTTCAGTTGAATGTATGGGTCCAGATGTTCCGAGGAGGAAGCTAGACTGAAAGTAGAAACTTAGAATCCCTTTGCACATAAATGAGAGGTGAAGAAGCTGTGGGCTAAAGAGACATGTGAGGGAAAAAGGGCTCCTTTCGGGGGGAGCACTAGCATATTGAGGTCAAAAGGTCCGAAAGAGAAGGACCCTTAGAAGAGAGAGGAAGGGAACGAGAGGAGGGTGTGTGACTTGGTTTTTTGGTTTGTTTGGGTTTTTTT